CCCCAAAACCCCAAAACCCCAAAACCCCAAAACCCCAAAACCCCAAAACCCCAAAACCCCAGCATTTCGGTGAATAATTAAATTAACTTATCAATCCGAATAAATTATACAGAGTTACAAGTCGTCAATATCCTCGTCATCTTCGTCATCCCCAGCGTCGTCGTAATTCTCTTGGTAAACCTTAGAGATGATTGGGTCGCAAACTGATTGCAGGTCCTTCAGGTGTTCCTCGAAGTCTTCTTTATCGGCATCTGCGTTAGTGTCAAGCCATTCTTGATGCTCTTGGAGAGCCTCACTGATGGTTTCTTTGTCGTCATCATCAAGCTTATCGGCTAGCTTCTCCTTGTCTTCAATGGTATTTCTCATGGAATGCAAGTAGCTATCCAAAGAGTTTCTAGCATCCACCTTTTCCTTAACGAGCTTGTCTTCTTCTGAGAATTTCTCTGCATCAGCAATCATTTCTTCGATTTCTTCTTTAGAAAGTCTTCCCTGATCATTAGTAATAGTGATAGATTCGGTCTTTCCGGTTCCCTGGTCTTCGGCGCTAACGTTCAGAATACCATTCTCATCCATGTCGAAGGTAACCTCGATCTGTGGGACTCCTCTTGCTGCTCTTGGAATACCGCTCAAGTCAAAGTTTCCTAGCAAGTGGTTGTCCTTGGTCATGGCTCTTTCTCCTTCAAAGATCTTTATTGTGACTGTTTCCTGGTTGTCTTGATAGGTAGTGAAGGTTTGAGACTTCTTGGTTGGGATGACAGTTCCTCTTGGGACAATCTTGGTCATGACTCCCCCAACAGTCTCGAGACCCAAGGTCAATGGGGCAACATCAATAAGCAAAAGTCCTTTAGTCTCATCAGTAGCTTCACCTCCCAAGATTCCTCCTTGGACAGCGGCTCCGTAGGCAACAGCTTCATCTGGGTTGATTCCTCTGTTTGGCTCTTTTCCATTAAAGAAATCTTTGATAAGCTGCTGGATCTTTGGAATTCTGGTGGATCCTCCTACAAGAACGATCTCGTCAATCTCACTCTTCTTCCTTCCTGAATCCTTCAAAGCTTGTTCAACTGGCTTGAGAGTCTTCTTGAATAAGTCATTACACAGTTCTTCAAATCTGGCTCTAGTAAGAGTCTCAGAGAAGTCAACTCCTTCTACAAGATTCTCGATTTCAATTTTAGTTTGGATGACACTTGACAAGTCTCTCTTAGCCTTCTCAACTTCTCCCTTAAGTTTCTGGAGAGCTCTCTTGTCCTGAGTGATGTCCTTGTTATACTTCTTTTTAATAAGCTTGGTGAAGTGTTGCAAGATCCTTTGGTCAAAATCTTCTCCTCCCAAATGGGTATCTCCAGAGGTGGCCTCAACTTCGAATACATCACCATCAATGGTAAGGATTGATACATCAAAGGTACCTCCTCCCAGATCGAATACCAAAATGCTTCTTTCATCTCCCTTCTGGTCAAGACCATAAGCAATGGCGGCAGCAGTTGGCTCATTCAAGATTCTCAATACGTTCAATCCAGAAATAATACCGGCATCTTTTGTGGCTGCTCTTTGTGCATCATTGAAGTAAGCGGGGACAGTAATAACAGCATTATTTACTTCTTGTCCGAGATAGTTCTCAGCGATTTCCTTCATCTTTTTCAAGATCATGGCACTGACTTCTTCTGGAGACAAAGTCTTGGTCTCTCCTCCATTAATCTGAGCTTTGACATATGGCTTTCCTCCCTTATCCACAATATCGTAAGATACGTGCTTTCTGTCTCTCTGGACTTCCTTGTCATTAAATTGTCTTCCAATCAATCTCTTCACTACATAGATAGATCTTGTTGGATTGACTGCTGCTTGATTTTTAGCTGCTTCTCCAACAAGTCTTTCTTCATCTGTGAATCCAATAAAGGATGGAGTGATTCTGTTTCCGAGTTCATTTGGAATGATCTCGACTCTTCCATTCTTGAAGATACCAACGCAAGAGTAGGTGGTACCCAAATCAATACCAACAACTGGTCCTTCAACTAAAAGAAAAATAGTTAGAATCTGGATAGATCTTTTGTGAAGAGAGGTTTAGCTAGTATATCAAGCAGCCAAATCTATCTAATGCTTACCTGTTGGTTTGTCGTCTGCCATCACAACTGCTGGTAAGTACTGAGCAGTCATGAGGATGAATAGCATGAATACATTTTTCAAGACACGTGTTTGTGATTTCATCTTGAATAAAATTCTAGAAATTATTTTATGATTAACTTTAAATTTTTCCTTTAAATACTTTTTCTCAGAATATCATTATTCAGGAATTAACCACGTGTAAGCTTCAACATTTAGAGTGTTTGCCGGGGTTTTGGGGTTTTGGGGTTTTGGGGTTTTGGGGTTTTGGGGTTTTGGGG